GGTGTCCAAACTCAGTCCTGGAGGGCCGCTGTCCTGCATATTTGAGCTCCAACTTCCTTCAACACACCTGCCAGGAAGTTTCTAGTATACCGAGTAAGAGCTTGATTAGCTTGTTCAGGAGTGTTTAGTTAGGGTTGGAAGTAAAATATGCTGGACACTGGCCCTCCAGGACTGAGTTTGGACACCCCTGACTTGACTTGACCTGATGCTGTTGTCTTGAACTCAGAAGTGTTTGCAGTGTGTGACCGGCTGAACAGTGATGAGTGTTAATTGTGTGTCACTCTGCTCTTATTCTGTTTAGTTGGCTCTAAGATTCGATACTTGCAAGAGTATCACAACCGTGTGCTTCACAATATTTATCCAGTGCCATCGGGAACAGACATTGCAAACACTCTGAAATACTTTTCCCAGACCCTGCTCAGGTAAGTGCACTACACTGGAAATAGGTCAACAATACAAACACTGCACAGTAGACACATGCAGACATCAGAGCTCTGTGTTTTACAGTCTAGAGTTAAAGATTTAATCAGAGACAAACAGCAGCGAGTCCTGACTCCACTAATGTTTCTGTTTGTCCTTAGTTTGTGTCTTTAAATGTCAGCAGATTTGTGTAGACTCATGAGTTATAGACCTTTACACGAGAGCACACTTCTCCATCTTATATTAATGAGAATGCATGCGTTAGGAGACGTGCTCCATGAGAAGCTAATGTAGGTGTGTGTGTGTGTGTGTGTGTGTGTGTGTGTGATTCCTGTCATGTGTTTGTTTGTCAGTGTTTGTGTGACACAGGATCCTTTAAGGTCCTCTATGGTCAGCGATATGAAATATGTCTGTGATTGATTATGCAGGGATATCCACACTTTGCAGTGGGTTTGAAATGTCCTAGAGTTTTTCTTGTCATTTAGCATTCTGCAGTCTAAACCACCTCTCATTGCCGGCCAGGGCAGGGATTGGCATGTTATAGCATTGATCAGAGACAGAACTGCATCCTGTTTTATGTAACGTACATCAAACTACGTTCTCCTCTCCCTCCAAGACCATCCCAGACCAAATTCCTGCTTAGGTAGATGTAGCCAGGGGACAGCGGCCACACTAACACCCTCCACATCCCTCCACAAACATGAGACATCGCTTTCGAAACCAGTGTATTCCTTTTCCATTACAGTGTTCCCAGCCGTAGACTAGTTACATTTCTGTTAGAACTGAAATCCATATGCCTGTCCAACCATTATTTCTCTCTCCCCCCCGAAATGATACTGAGGCAGTATCATAATGTATCTACATACAGACATTCTTTTTGACGGTGCAATAAACATGTGTTGTGACCAGGGAGCTTTTAGTCTAACCTCACATACATGTTTATTACTGGCTGAAGCATGTTTCTGAAGTGTCATCTCTGTATCGTCCTCAAAACCAAATCTTTCGAGATTGCTTTCATCTCTGACAGCCCCTCCATTGCTCGATCTGTTCCCATCCGGCTCTTTGGCCTGCTGAGCGACCCGCGCCGCTCGTCCTCCGAGGATTGGCCAATCGGAGGGCGCGTTGCGTGTGTGTCAAAGGCGAAGTACGGGGCTGCCACTGAAAACATGCCATTTTTTATAGTTTTGCTCCTTGTCACCAGATACGCATGAGATGCAGTGATCATTGCTAGGTCTGCAAGCGCCCGTTTGGTGCCCGCTTGCCTTTCGGCCCTAAAGCAAACCAGCCCAAGTCCATCCTGGCACGTCCAAAAGACTGCAGGGACACTGCATCCTATGTGGGGAATATCTGGTTTTGGTTCTTTTCTACTTACGCTGTCTCTGTAGAGCCATTTCAATGTAATGTGCTGTTTCTTTGTGTCTTTGTTGTCTCTTTTTTTCCCCTGTTCCCCCCCCACCCCTCCCTCGGAGCAGCATCCTGTCCCGTACAGGCAGAAAGGAGAGCCAGGAAGCTTCCAATTTGGCCGTGCCCATGACCATGTGTCTTTTTCCTGTGCCATTCCCACTCACCCCATCTCTAAGACCACAAGTCAGTTCCATCAACCCTACAGTTACTCGATCCCTCCTTTACAGCGTTCTGCGGGACGCCCCGGCCGACCGGGGTGGTGCCACCCAGCAGAGTCGGGAGGTTCAGCTCTCAGAGTACCCGTCTCTGGACTATCAGGGGCTCTATGCCACCCTCGTCACCTTGCTTGACCTGGTGCCCCTGCTGCAGCACGGTCAGCACGGTGAGTCCCGCACACTGCCCACATATATCGGTAAAATCGCTCGCAAATAAGACGTTGTTTTCCAGCCAATCCTCAGCTGATCTGAGATCCAGATATGGATAGATTCACATGCTTGTCTTAGTTGGTCATTCACTCGCTCTCATGGCACTGGTTTGTGAACACAGGGTTGCTCAAATCATTGAAATGAAATCCACGTTTCCGCAAAAGATTCTCCTGCACATCTTGTCCGGAAGCACAGTTCTGAGATCAGCAGTAAATGTCCTCCAGAAGGTCAGATGGCGCTCTCATGCAGAAACTGCAGATACGACTCAAACAAGAGACTGTAGGGATCCATCCCAAACTGCAGACATCCATACTGAAGATAGCAGGGGTCACGAATCTGTTCCTGGAGAGATACCTTCCTACAGGTTTCAGTTGCTACCCATATCAAACACACCTGCCTGAAATGATCAAGTGCTGTTCAGTCGTCATCGATTGGTGCAGGTGTGTTTGTTCAGGGTTGGAGCTGAACTCTGCAGGAACAGGGTTGATGACTCCTGCTATACAGTAGGTTATAGTAGTTTGTCTGAATTTAAAGTATCTGGACAAACAGTAGGTGAGAGGTACCCGGATGACCTACTACTTCCGGCAGGATTCTGAAGTGCGCATCTGATGGACGCTATGCTATCCCATAATGCACTGTGAGAGTGCACTGATGGGTAGGTCATGTGATCATGACAAAAGGTGAATGTAGAAGTTCTTATCATTCACTGCTCACTGTTCATACTATACAGAATGCATTTTCTAATGGGTGTGTAGTAAACTCAGATGTAGTACCTAATCGAGTAGTAGACGATTTTGGACGCAGCCAATCAAAAAGAGCAGGGGATTTAATCAAAGCCTGTTGAAGGCAAGCCTGAAATCATTAGCCATGAAATGCATAACTGCTAATGCTAGTGGTGCTGCCATGGCATTCTCTGGGCAGGAGACTAAAAGCCGCTATGTGATTGGCCAAGATGTGCTTCACGTGACCAAGTTCTGGGTTTTTCAGTGGTAATACAGATGTTTTCAACTCCCTAGTGAGGAAACCTCTGGCAAACACTACTATGATACCTTCGCACAGACTGATTTATTTCAAACATAAGGTTACGAGGTGATTTAGGAGTTAGGGCATTGTTAGATGTGCTATATTCACATGCATTCAGATGTGATGGCTACACAGAGCTGGAGATCACTGAGACGCAACGCAACAGCTGTCGTAACGCAGAATGAGGATCTCTGATTTCAGGATTCAGCAATCTTTCCCCAGCCTGTTGTTGAACTACAGCTCTGTGAGTAAACACTGCTCCATCTCAAACTGAGGGATGCTGGGCTCTTTAGCAAATTGATTTCAGTATTTTAAAATCAGTAGCTTCCATAATTTACAGGCCTTACACACCTTCCATCGTGAGCATAAAGAGCGGATCGGGACTGATCTGAAAGCAGCTGCTGGAGATTTACTACTGAACGCAGAGCCGGCTTTACTGCCACAGTGTGCATGAACGTGTCCTTTGATTAACCGTGCAGCCCTAGAGGAACTCGATGATAGTCGTTCCTGTGTTTTGTTTATGCCATTGAAGTCAGTGGATTGGATCTGGTTAGCAGTATTTCCTACAGTTACTCTTTGGGTTGGAAAGACATGAGTGTGAATAAATGTTGAACCGTCCCCTCGATGCGTTTCTCAGGATATGAAGAGAATCCAATTATCACCCCGGCTGACTTATCAGCCCACATATGACCAGTGGGAGATTAGGTGAAAATGAGTAACTGCGTGTAGAGTCCGCTGACAATCACTGCTGTCGTCATTCAGCTGGTCCTGCTATTGCAGTTGGTTTCTGTTGACATCTTAAGCCCTGTTCGGATTACATAATTCGGTCCTGATCACGACTGATTACTTACTTAACGTGAGGTGTCTTTGAGATTCATCATTGACTCATGGGCATCAGGGCGCAAGATTTAATTATTTATTCTTATGTTGCGTCGACCAACGCCATGTCTGCAACATTGCATCGCAATGTAGAAAGTCTAGCATGTTTAAATACTGTCCCCATTATCCATGATGAGTTCTGCTCCATGGATGACACTGATCAGTAAGAGCACATAACATGACATGGAGGAAAGCTTTGTGTAGTAACAGTACACTCACTACATTCATTCAGTATGGGGGCGTGCGAGAGACCTGCAGCCGGAGGGATCAAGACATCTGTGCTGCCCATTACATTACAAACCACAGGAGAGGGACAATTCTCCAGCAGGATAGCGCTCCTGCTCCATACTTCAGCCTCCACATCAAAGCTCCTGAAAGCAAAGAGTGCTCCAGGTTTGGCCAGCCCAGTCACCAGACATCAACATTATTGAGCATGTCTGTGGTAAGATGGAGGAGGAGGTGTTGAAGATGAACACAGAGACTCTTGATGAACTCTGGGATCCTGCTGAAGGCTTTCTTCTTCATTCCAGATTACTTTATTAATCAGTGATGTGAGTCATGTCAGAGATGTATGGATGCAGTCCTCCAAGCTCATGATGGAGTCAGACACAATCTTCATTCTGTCTCCACTGCAGCAGGACTTTATATTCTATACTGGACATTACTGACGGTTCAGTGATGAGACTTTAATCAGGTATTGTAGGCTTTCATCACTGGACTACCCTGACAGAATCATAAAAGGGTGAATGTAGGTGATGGGGATCTGAGGCACTTCTGCAGCCTGGTGAGGAGTTCTGCTTATCATCAGATAAAGTAGCAGATCAGAGAATTATAGAGACATCTATAGTCAATGTGGATTCTTGATGACAGAGCAAGCATCATAGACGTCACGTGATGGTTAATCGTGAAGCAATATGTAGTCTGGGAGCCACGACACGTTAGGATTGTATCGAGACAGAAACACATAATCTGACACAGGGACTCGTAAGTGACCATACCAATCATGTAATCTGAACAAGCTTGAAGAATTCTGTCGATTGTTTCATGATAAATGATGCATCTAAATAAAGCGTTCGCCGTTCTTCTCGACAGAGAGCTTTGACTGGACAACAACGTCTTCAATACGAGTAAACAAACATGTGTGTCCTGCTAGAATCTCTTTCATGATGCAGTGTTTGGAGCTGTGAAGTGAACACATCTTTACTCTATAGGGATGCACCAAAACTACAATCACAAAACCAACATTTCTCTGCACACCTAGCTAACAAAATCCAAACCAACGCGATGTAATAGTTTCTTCTTATTTTTATGTAAATGTTATTTGACAGATTAACTGATTTTTAAAACTCACAAGCCAATAAAATTGACCCCATTTATTGACAGTGAATGAATCGAGAGGCTTCATTTTACCAACATTACCATGAAAGTCACAGTATTATTACTAACAGCTGGAACAAGCACACAGAACAGGTACTAGAAATGTCCTGTCGCTGCATTATTTGAGCCCGCTTTGCTTTTCCACTGAGCATGTGTGGTTCATACACGGATAGTTATTTGTGTACGTCAGTGGAATATCCATGGAGCCGAATATAGAGTTATTTTAAACCTTGACCCACTGCGTGTGCAAGCTGGTCAACGGAGCGCTCGCTGCTCTTGTGCTTTAGTCAGCGCATCAACAAACCAACCACGGAGTAAACCATTGAAATGAATGGGTTTCATAGCGCAGCGCAGCGCTTTCCTCATCCAGAGAGTGAGACCTGCATGGTAAACACGGGTGCAGCAGCATTTGTTCAGCTCATATTCTTGAAAATGCCCTTTTCAGTCACTAGCAGAGCATTTGGTGCATCCCTACGGTAGACAGACGAGTGTTCAGAGATGGTTTGAAAGGCTGGGTGAATGTCTGTGGTGCTCACTGCTCCGTCTGCTTGTGTTTCAGATCTGGGGCAGGCCATATTTTACACCACCACATGCCTTCTGCCTTTCCTTAGCGATGATATTCTCAGCACTTTACCCTACACCATGATCTCCACGTTAGCCACCTTCCCTCCGTTCCTGCACAAAGACATCATAGAGTACCTGAGCACGTCCTTCTTGCCCATGGCCATCTGTGAGTATGCCCACAGCCCTGCAGAGTTTGAGCCAGTAATACATGTGTACAGCCACATGCCGCTGGTCCCTCAGATTAAGCGAAGGAGTTTTGTGTTGCAGTGGGTTCCACCAGAAGAGAAGGTGGCGTTCCAGCGTATGTCAATCTGTCGGCCTGCTCCATGCTGATGATCGCCATGCAGTACACCTCCAATCCAGGTACAGACGCATCTGTCAGACACTGAACAGACAGCTCTAGCAGTCCCAGCAGTTTCAGTGCTCTAATCGTCTGCATGTTTGCTCTTCAGTATATCACTGTCAGCTGCTGGAGTGTCTGATGAAGTTCAAGCAGGAAGTGTGGAAGGTACGGCTTGGCTCTTGCTGTGTTTTTGGAGATGTTTTGAAAAGCTGTTCTGGTGGACTCAGTGATTGCTGTGTTTGTAAAGGATCTTCTCTACGTCATATCCTACGGCCCGTCCCAAGTTAAGCCTCCCGCCGTCCAGATGCTCTTCCACTACTGGCCCAACCTCAAGCCTCCAGGAGCCATCAGCGAGTACAGAGGCCTGCAGTACACCGGTGAGATCTGCTGCTCTTTACTCCAGCCACTGCAGACCATCACTGTGGTTGATGTTCAGATGAAGCACAGGACTGGAGCTGTACTGTGAGCTGCAATACTCACATCAGCCTAGATTATATTGCTCTACTCCTCTGCATATAGATGCGGATCAATTACTAACCCCCTCAATGAGAGACTCATTGTTGAGAGCTGTCGATGTGTGTGTGTGTGTGTGTGTGTCTCTGTGTGTGTGTGTGTGTGTGTGTGTGTGTGTGTGTGTGTGTGTGTGTGTCTGTGTGTGTGTTTGTGTGTGTGTGTGTGTGTGTGTGTGTGTGTGTGTCTCTGTGTGTGTGTTTGTGTGTGTGTGTGTGTGTGTGTGTGTGTGTGTGTGTGTGTGTGTGTGTTTGTGTGTGTGTGTGTGTGTGTGTGTGTGTGTGTGTGTGTGTGTGTGTGTCTCTGTGTGTGTGTGTGTGTGTGTGTGTGTGTGTGTGTGTGTATCAGTGGTTTTTAACCATTTTTAACTTGTGGCTCACTAAACTAAACTGAATATGTGTGATTATCAGATGAAGCCGCTGTTTTAGCCTCCTGACTCTGGTTCTGAGCACTGGACTCACTGGCTGCTCCAGCTACCCTCTCCTGAAGTCCTCATGGTGTTTGTGTTTGTGTTTGTGTTGTTCACTCCACAGCCTGGAACCCCATTCACTGCCAACACATCGAGTGCCAGAACTCCATCAATAAACCTGCGGTGAAGGTACGGGCTCTTCACCTCTGCATTTACTGCATGCAGGTTTTGTTTTTGTGATTGTTTGTCTTGATTAGCTGGAGAGCCAGTTCAGATTCAGTTTACTGTGCACCAATTCTGGGGTTTGAGGCATCATGAAGGTAGCTCAGATCACCTGCTACATAGAAAACAGAAGGGTCTTGTATCCTGCTCTCCCATTGGCTGTTGGTCTATAACTCGCCCGAACGTTTTACTCCGATCTATTCTGCTCTCCCATTGGCTGTTGGTCTATAACTCCTCCCAAACTCCTCCTATCCTCTGTGGTCAGGTTAGGGTTTCTGTGAGAGCAGGAGCGTAATAACTCAACAGCACTTGCCTCATTAATCCACAAAAGCAAGACAGAACACTGAATCAGTCATGTTTGTGTGTGAAATACGGCGCTGTTGTTGTACCTGTGCAGATGTGTATCGACCCGACGCTCTCGGTGGCTCTGGGAGACAAGCCGCCGCCGCTCTACATCTGTGAGGAGTGCAGCCAGAGGATCGCGGGGTGAGAAAACACTGCTCACTATAGCGCGGATCACACTGTGCGCTTCTCCATAACACTACACCAGTCACTGCGAGCAAAACACAACACATCTGCCAGACATATAAACATAGAGCGCTCGGCTAGGGAACGTCTAATTGATGTCTAAGAATAGACCAAAACTAGACTGATCATCAAATACACATGTACACACACTTCCCACCAAACAATCCTTTAATGGACGTCTAATAGACATCTCAACATCTAACATGTCAACATGACGGCTTGACTATAACAGGACACAGTGTACTCTGTCGCTGAATGTCTGATTGACGTCTAAGATTAGACCAAACACTCAGATTAGACTGACTCCACATGTGTGCTCGTTCATTCCTGTCTATTCCATCATTAGTCTGGCTTTAGTCTATTTTTAGACATCCATCAGACGTTCACTGACAGGCCAATTTTGTCTTGTATTAGCCAATGCAGAAATGCTCTTCTGACCTACAGTGTGAGTCTTAAATCTAGAGGGTTTTCTAGACAAGATTAAAATATAGTGTGCTCAGAAATCCATCTGATGTGTGTGTGTGTGTGTGTGTGTGTGTGTGTGTGTGTGTGCGTGTGTGTGTGTGTGTGTGTGTGTGTGTGTGCGTGTGTGTGTGCGTGTATGTATGTGTGTGTGTGTGTGTGTGTGTGTGTGTGTGTGTGTGTGTGTGTGTGTGTGTGTGTGTGTGTGTGTGTGTGTGTGTGTGTGTGTGTGTGTATGTGTGT